TGTTTCGTGTTCGTTAAACTGTTTCTTCTTTCTCTCTTCCTTTCTTTCTCTCATACAATGAAATGTTGACGTTTGGAGAGATAAGAAATTAAAAAAGGAATGGAAATGATAGAGAAGAAGAAAAGTTCAGCAACGAAACAAGGCTGGTAAAACAGATGAATAAAATAAATAATTGAAAAAAGCCGAAAAGAGAAGAAAAAGACAACATGGAAACAGGAAAAAAAGAAATCTCTCCCAACCGAAATGATGCAAACGTTTTGCTAATACTTTTTCAATGAACAGTTCACATGTCAGACCTGTTTTACAAGGAGATTTTTTAAATTTACTCATTAGTAAATTTTTTTAATCATAAAATTATTTGATTATAATATTTCCAGCATAAAGAGATGAGACATAAGATAGAAATTGTTATTGTGGATGTTTGCGATATAATCAGCGATTAGTAATAAATGCAAGACTGAAATAATCGTGAAATATTGTTGTCTTTTTGACTTGCATATTTATATGGGTGGTCACTGATTATATCCACAAACAACAATTACTCTTTGTTACTTGTTACTTACTCTTTTGTTACTTGTTACCTAACCGATACATCATAGTTTTCAAACATTTGAACTGATAATCGGTTTGGATAGCAACGGCACTTTGTAATATAAACGAATTCATCGTACTGGAAACGTTATGATTGTGTTCGTTATATAATAGTTAATGAAGCAAGTTGAAATTAGCCAAAAAGTACTCAAGCTCAATTTTGATCAAGATTGTTATATTCGGAGTGGAAGAGTATTCAGGCAAAGCCAATCGAAGATTTTCATTTATGTTTTTTTATTAATTTTTTCGAATCGAAAAATAGTCCATGATATATTTAATAACTTAGACAAGTGGAGCTGTTGAATGATACACAATTAATTATTATAAGAATTACACTTCGAATTGAGCAAACCTGTATAAAGGAAAGAAGTAGTTACTGCTGCGATCATCTCTTAATGATAAGAAATTAAAATTATCGATGAAATGAGCTCTTCGCACGGTTAACCCCCGAGTGGACTAGATAATAATGACATCAAATGATCATCAATAAACGATTAATATTGGAATGTTTTTTTGATTTACATCGATTAGACTGACTAAATAACTCATGACGTCACCCAGACAA